AAAGAGAGGAAGGGAGGAAGGGAGGAAGGAAGGAAGGAAGGAAGGAAGGAAGGAAGGAAGGAAGGAAGGAAGGAAGGAAGGAAGGAAGGAGGATGCATAAATAGGTAGAATATAGATAAATTTCGCCCTCAATTTTGTCTGAAGTCGATTTCTTTCAAAGTCGGAGATAGAGCTTACGTTATATTTTGCTCGGAAGAAAAGCGTGGAAAAAATGACACAAACAAACCCACACCCGCCCCTTGCACAACCGAGGCACACGCCCCTCAGGTCACACACAAGGGACTTTTGTGAAAAAGACACACCCAAAATCACCGAAAGTTGTTTCAGTGGTGATTCAACCCATTTGTCACAGAGAAAGTATTGAGCCATATTCGGGGGGGGGGGGGGGGGGGAATTCCAGGTTTGGCATTTCCTCGTACTCTAAAACCCATCTTCCAAAGCCACCTGGGTCCGTCCCTGCCTTATGACCACTGTTGAGAGCTCCCTTCCAGTCATGAAGTGAGACATTGAATTCCCTGAATTCCACCCTTGCTTTTGCTGCCCAGGTTGAGTCCCCGATGCTTCAGTCGTTAAGTGAGACATCCAAACCATTCTATGACCTTTCTTTCCCCACACCGTTGTGAAACGAGCCAGCGCAGTTGTTAAGCGAGTCGGCTAGGCGTTTGAAGCAAATCGGGCTTCAAAGGAGGAAATCGCACAAGCCCCGGATGGCTGCGAGTGTTGTAAACGCGAGAACGGTCCGCAAGGTTCAGGATTCCCATCACGCAACCCCGAGGATACCGACGATTGTTAAGAGTGAAACCTAAGTCCCCTTTTTTTCCGGCACCGTCATCACTTGGAACCATCGCTAAACCGTCATTAAGTCGAGAATGTACGGGATCGCAGTTCCACTTAGCAGGGGTATATGTATCATGGCTTGGACTACAACTCCCATCTTCCCCATGCCAGTTAAAACAACAAACAGCAACAGTGATGGGAGATGTAGTCCAATATATGTCGGGGAAGGGGTGAGACTACAACTCCCATCTGCCCCAGCCGGTTAAAGCAAGAGGGGTGATGGGATATGTAGTCCAATATATGTAGGGAAAGGGGTTGGACAACTCCCATCTGCTCCTAGCCAGTTGACGCAAGAGGGATGATGGGATATGTAGTCCAAAGTGAAAGCAGCGGGGATGATGGGAGATGTATTCCAACTGGGGGAAACGATTGGACTACAACTCCCATCTCCTCCCCAGCCTTGGGCAGGGTGTGAGGGGAGATGCTGCCCAGCTTGCCTGCAAGCCATGGCTGGGGATGATGAGCCATGCAGTATAAGGTCTCTGTCCCAAACCTCTCCCCTGCCAGGCTGTTCAAGCGACGGGGATGATGGAAGATGTATTGCAATATGTTGGACTACAACCTCCATCTTTCCCTGCCAGAAAGTTTGTGTAACCCAGTGGCTGGGGATAATGGGTCAGGGGTACAACTCCACCCACACCCTACAGCCCCTATGAAAGGATGAAACAGAACGGCAAGCCCATCATGGGATATGTAATCCAAAGCCTGGTGGTGAATGATGGGATTTGAAGTACCCACCATCTTCCTCACCCCAGAGCCAGTTGAAGCACGAGGGAATGATTGGGAGGGTGCTTGGACTACAACTCCCATCTCTCCCCAGCCAGAAAGTCTTTTTACTAAAGCTAGGAATAATGGGCCCTGGGATACAACACCCCTTCAACCTACAGCCCCCCACCTCTGATTTAAAGGATGAAAGATAATGCCGAGACCATCATGGGATATGTAGTCCAATGCTTGAGTGGGGATGATGGGCTCTGAAGGACTCCATTCAACTTCAGTTAAAGCCAACGGGAATGATGGGTTGGACTACAACTCCCATCTCCCCCAGCCGGAAAGTTTCTATAACCCAGTGGCTGAGGATAATGGGTCCTGGGGTACACCCCCCCACCCCTCTTTTTTTAAAGGATAGAAAGGAACGGTGAGCCAGTCATGGGCTATGTATTCGAAGAAAAGGGTGTGGATGATGGGATCTGAAGTACCCACCCTCCTCCCTCCCAATCAAAGCAATGGGGATGATGGGGGGGGGGAGGAGGTTTGGACTACAACTCCCATCCCCAGCCAGGTTTCTACCACCCAGTGAGTGGAAATAACGGGTCCTGGGGTACCACTACCCACCCTCTACAGTCTCCACCTTTTTTTTTTTACAGATGAAAAGGAACAGCGAGCCCGTTATGGGCTATGTAGTCCAAAGCCTGGGTGGGGATGATGGGATCTGAAGGGCTGCACACGACTCCAGTTAAAGCAATGGGGATGATGGGGAGAGCGGTTGGACTACAACTTCCATCTCCCCTCAGCCAGAAAGTTTCTACCACCGCTGGGGATAATGGGTCCTGGAATACACCGCCACCACCATACACCTCTTTTTTTTAAAGATGGAAACAAACGGCAAGACCATCATGGGCTATGTAGTCCAAAGCTTGGGTGGGGATGATGGGGTCTGAAGTACCCCATACGACAGGTTTAATGATGGGGGGGGTGGAAAGCTTTGGACTACAATTCCCATCTCTCCCCCCTCCCCGCCGCCAGAGGAGGCTGCCGGCCAGGCCACACGGGGCATGACGGGAAACGTAGTCTAAAGCGGCCCCCGAGGCAGGGAAGCGGCGATGGGGACGATGGGCTTCGGCGGGGCCGGGCCGGCCGGCTGGGCTGGGGGAGTCCCTACCCACCTGCAAGCAAGACCCGGCGGGGAACGGAGGAGGGACCGTCCCGAGGCCTCACCTGGGCCTCCCTGGAAGCGGCTCCTTTCCCGATCGGCGACGAAGCAGCGGCCGGGTGGAGGAAAGGCGGAAGGAAGGCGCGGCGGACACACGCTCGCTTCTTTGGCCTGGCCCGGCTTCCGTAGCCGCGGACACGCCTCTCCCGGTGGCATAGGCATGCGCAAGTTAGTTCCCCGTTTTTTTCCTTCTCCCCCTCCCCTCTAGCTGAAGCCACGCCCCTCACCCGGCAGGAACGTCGGTGGCAGAGTCCTGTCGTCCTCTGGGTCCTAGCGCCGGGCTTCTCAGCAAAGGGGCTTCTTCTCGCCCTCGGACAAAAGGGTCGTTGAGAAAGGGGGGGGGGCGCCAAAGAGAGGACCCCTCCCCCAACGCTCCCCACGAGTGATTTCACCCATCGGG